GCAGAGAGTAAAGTAGGTATACTTTAGCCTAAGACTTCTCCAGCACTGAACTTTTTTTTTTTTTCTGCTCTAGTGGCATCTAATCAGATAAGAGGGCCAAGTTACCTAAAAAGGGAATGGTGTCACTTCTGCTAACATTGGGGCTACGCATAAGCAGCTAAAGTCTTTTTAGACTGGAATACTAACATTTGGTGCTTCAGCCTAGGATAACAAGGAGACCATGCCAAATTCTAGTGACAGAAGATGGTTGCTAACTACAACATATGCATACATGTATTCTCTCATGTATTGTAATCTCCTTCAGAGTATCATCAGGCAATGCTAGTGACAGTGGAAGCGAGAGCTATCTCCCATCATTCCAGATATCAGGAACGCCACAACAGGCTTTTTATGCTAACAGGATGAAATATGCTTGGCACCATGCAACACTAACAAAGCTGACAACAAATTAGTAACATTAGATGTCTTTATTAGCATTTCAGTAATTGGGTGACTACTTGGTCAGATCAAGATGCTCCGGTTACCAGCTTGTGCAATAAGACACACAATCAGCATTTATATGTAGTCCCATGGAAGGTACTTACTTCTTATGGGCTAGAGACAATATAAACCAGAAAAGTTGGAAGTGAACTCTGTTCTGACACTATACCTAGTAGGTACATTCTCCCAAAGCCTCTAACTGTTGTGTTTTATTTAAGTAGTTGCATGTTTTAACAGAACTACCAGGATATTGAGGGAGCAAAGCAACATCAAATTAGAGTAGTTCTGCAAGATCTCATTCTCAGGTTAACCTGAATGTATGTCTGTCAACAGCAAAAGCTATAATGGAAAAACCTTATGTTCAGGTCAAGCAACTTGAGATTGCTATTTAACAGTCCTACTACAAGTCCAATTCAGGACTGTGGGACTTAAAGCTCTCTGATAACTCCTCTATTCAAGTCAGAATGCAAGATGACATCCATACCTCTGTAGCAGATGTTTTAGAGATGTACAGCAAGAAAGAAAAGCTATTTTATGCACAGCAGAAAACAGATTAGAAGGTAAGAATTTTGTTCTGTGCTAGATACATACCAATTCAGGACAGTGGGACTTAGATGAAAACAGTAGCCCCCAAAGGATATTAAGAGTAAATAAACCTTCAGAAGCATGACAAGAGAGGACTGAGCAAAGGAACCTTATTTTCTGGAATTCCAAGATGCAATGAGAAAGCTGTTATCAATCAAGCTAACCCAGACATTGCAAATGAAACTAAACAGACACAGGCCTGTAACTTCCCTCCTTGTCATTGCTATGCAATGCGTGCAGATTATCAGAATTAACAAGACTAAGAAAGGTATGGTTGAACAGGACAGTTAGCCAATATGATAATGCTCATGGATTTCAGAAATTGCTTAAAACTCAAGAGTAGTTGTCTGTAAGAATAGACAGTGAATTGTTCTGCAAGAGAAGCTGCCATGAGGAGGAGCTTCTAGCAAGCTTCTCAGAGAAGGCGTCATGCTGGAAAGAGGTCGCTTATCAACCTACTCTGAGACCAATTTTGGGGATCGCTTCATTGAATCAGTCAAAACCTCAAGACAGGGAAATGGCCACTAGTTTGGGCTTGCTTACTTCAAAGACTGGAGAGCTACATGCAGCTTACAACCGTCATGATGCATGAATCCAGCCTTCAGGAACATGAAAAGGTTAAAAATCCTACAGTACAAAGACTTAATAGTGCACTGCAAGGATCAGTGCAAAGAATGCTTTTAGAAATTGGGAGTTCAGCTAAGCCAAAAGAAAAGCTTGGTGGATATACTGGTCAGTCCAATAAGGACTGATTTGCCAGTGAGATGGAGCTACAGAAGAATAGCAGTGTTATGATAGATGCAGAGATACTCATATCATATACTGTGGATCAGAGATACTCATATCATACTGTGGATCAGTAATGAATAGATGATTGATCGATCATGTTAAGACACACAGCATCAGTTCCTCTCACAATAGGTGACTAGAACTGCATACATTTGTGAAAGACTTGTAGCCTTAGATGATACAAAAGCAACTGTTGAGATACATGAATGAGAACAAGAACTCCATTTGCTTGGCCCTATTAATGTAAGCCCAAACAGGAACCGTATAAGCCTTGAAGTCAATTCCTTGTGTTTCCCTGACTGAAGCTAAATTTGACAACACTGAAAAAGGTCTTTCTGAAAAATCTTAATTTACAAACTAGAAAGTTCTTAACTCCAAGTTCAAGGCACAAAACACAGCTTGTTTTGAAGAGCAGCCTTGATCAGATTGTGAATGGAATTACATGCTGCAAGAAGAGACAGCTGGAGCCTGGATTTTGATACATATGCCCAAATTCATTTGGATGAGGCAGCTAAATGTTGTCACTAACAAGCAGAACAGATTACTAGCAGAACACTACAGACTTCAGAGAACTAAAAAGCAGCAAGGACTACGCTACTGCAGAAGCATACAGTTCAGCACAAGTGATACATGAAGAAGAAGATTCAGATACATGATCATGCACAAATATAGTGTATTTCAAGAGACAGAACTCTTATTGAGGCAAGGAATAAGAAGCAGGTCCACCAAAAAAAAATTACTTTTCTCTGTATGAATAGCAGACATCCATATTATTCAGAACAAAAATGAGTTGTCAGAATAATCAGGTATGGAAGAACAGAGGTGGTTAAGGTTGCCTGTGGTCTGAGTTATGGTTCTCCTTGGTGCATTTCTTTTTTCTTCTTTGAATGGCAAAATCAAGGCCTGATGTTTCTGTTCCCTCTAACAATCTTCATATGCAGCCTTGGTGAGACCACAAGAGGAATAGCACTTTGCCTAAAATAGCTCTTCATCTCCCAAGTTATTTTGGCCCTGCTCACTTAATGTCAAAAGCAGCCAACTTCAGCTGATAACACTGAGCTAACAAAGCTGCATGAGACAAACATAATCTATTCTTATTCTGCCTCATGCTTCGTAGCCACAACTGTCAGCTAAATTCCAAGGCTGAACCTGTATCACTGGTAAGAAGTTAGTCCCTTCTCCCCCTGCCTCAGCTTCCAAAATCTACTGAAACATTGGGGCCTCAGTAATTGACACCAGTTAAATCAAGTGGCTTGCTGTTTAAGTTCCCATACTGCATTGGACAAAAACGGCATCTCTAGAAGCTTCACTCCAATTCCATTCTTTCCTTAGCTGTTCTCCAAATTCCCTTATGTATTTGCCAGCAGCTTGTCACCATAACCTGGACTTCAAGCAGTTTTTCCTGGTATACAATGTTTTATCCGATTTATGAAAAGCAGTGATACACCTGGGGCCTGAACAAATAAATTTCAGGCAGCAGATAAATTAGGTCTAATAGTCTGACACAACTCAGCTTCGGCAGCTACTGTTCAACAGCAGCATTTTAAATAGGCAAGAAGTACTGCAGCTCCAGTAAACCAGAGGAGCCTCCCAAACTGCCTCTGAAATCCCTCAAATCTAAATCCAAATGCTTTGTGTGCAGTAGGTTTTGTAAGAGCTGGTTCAAATAACTGGCATTTCTCAAACTCAGATTCAACTCTGAAAACTACCTACAAGTTCCACATGCTCCAGGTTTCCAACAACTTAGCAAATACTATGAAAGCACAGAGGTATCCTACATGAAATTTGTCACCATTTTTTTTTTTTCCAACTAACAGCACACAACTTGAACAAGCCCCATAAGCAGCAGCAAGGCAGCTTTGAAGGAGGTAACAATGGAGGTGAACTATGTTTCTGCTCACCTATTGGTGATGTCACACACGAACACTTTGCTGTTCTTTTCAGGGGTTGGTTTTTGTTTTTGTTTTTTTAAACTCCTGTATTAGCATGGCCTACCAACTGTCAGTCAGGCTCAAAACGCATTTGCACCCATTAGAAAGCACTGAACAAATCTTTGACATTTGAGACAGATTGGTGGACCCTGGATTTAGAGCTCCTTATTTAACATAACTTAGAAGCATTTTTTTATACAAGGCATCGGTGTAAATGCAGATCCCGCCATGCAAGCACATGGAAACACATACTGTGTCCATTCCGCATGCACTTGCTGCCTCTGAGATGAAGACAACTTTACTATCAAGTTCATTCTGAATTTTCGGCTCAATAAATATTCCTGTACAAAGGAAAAAGCTTCATTTAACACTGAAGCCACTGCATTTGGCAACACACAATAACAATTCTATTCCCTTCTTCCAGTATCATTTGCAGTTCCTGGAGTTTGAGATTTGATTGTTACAGCAGTTTTAAAAAATTGAACATGACATAGCAGAAGTTACAGATAAACTGGATATTTATACTTAAAACAAGAATAAGCATCTCTGAATAATCCCACTGCTCAAGGAAGATACTAGAATTCTACAACTTCTGTCAGATACACCTTAGATGACCATGACAAGTAATCCTATTTGTGGGCCACGTGTGTAACTATCAAGCACAGTTGATCTGTTGGGTAACTAGTGGAATATTTCAAAAACAGCCATCAGAAGTCTCCTTAGCACAACTGACAGTCACATCTAGCCCTCAGAAGACAGAAGTTGCAGCCTTCTCTCCTCCCACCTTTAAGGCTTGTTTCCCTGTATTAATATTGGTTGAAGCTAAAAATATCTTTGGCACATTGTAATTCTATTAGCATTCTGGCACACAAGTGCTTTTTTTTGTTTTGTAATGCATCTGTTCCTATAACAATTTACTAACAGCTTTAAGTATATCAGCTGCAAGTACAGCTGATCTTGATTTCTGTGAGAACAATTTAAACAAGAAGAAATGTTTTCCCATTTATATGCTCAAGATGTAAAGCTATCTGTATTATTCTACTAAAAGCCCAGAGGCCTGTAACACTGGCTTCTAGCCAACACCAGATTAGAAAAATTTACTGAATACATACTGACCTTTTGCTCCAAAGCATTCCCAACGCTGCTGTTCTTAATTCTATCCACCCACAGTTCACTGTTATGCACAACAAAAGCAGCTGCCCATTGTACAGTTACCTAGAGAGAAGCATCTCTTCCAGCGACGCCACAGAGACATCATGTTCATTCCTTCTTGCACTGGCTGCACGAAGACGAAAACAGCAGCAGTCCTTCAAAGATCTCTACAGCATTAGCAGGTCTCAAAGCTGATTAAAGTGATCTCCATGGTAATCTGTGAAATATATGTTTGCACTTTCCAACTGCTCCGCACTGGATTCACAGCAGGAAAGTGTCCAGTAGGTGCCTGCGTATACCCAACGCACAAGGAGACAACTGTGGCATTTGCTGAAACATTCTAATACATTTCCACAGAAAAGGGTAATTCAGCATCATCCTCTATTTCAGCACCTGAAACAACGACCTGCCCAGTTCCTGGACTCTGACCCCCCCCCCACCAGGTTTCAAAGCACAGTTTCTCAAGTGAAATCCTAAGAGAAATATACAGTAGAACTCAAGTTCTGCTCATGCTGGAGATGGTTTGTGTGATGTTATAGGTCATGAGATCCATTCATCTTTGCAGATATAGAGGATGATTTTCTAAACTCCCTTTTCCTTGTCTCTGAACAGGTTTAATGGCAAAGTATTTTGGCTCTCAAATGAAAAGGTTAAAAATTAATTCAGCTAACACTCCAACTAATAAAAATCCCTCTCCTTTAAGAAAGATTTTTCATTTTCTTTTCACCTGTATTAACCCCATCAGTATGAGCCTCTCTAGAGGCATATCTACATATGTGGCCCTTACAGCAGCTTTTCAGGGTCCTTCCTCCCTGGCAGTCTGTCTCCCTTCCTTCCCATTGCCCCTGCTCCAGACCGCTCGCTTGTTGTATGGGGAATAGAGAAAGAAACATCAGCAGCATGCTTAAAGCCTCAGAAAACAGCCACAGGAGAAAGCAAGGATTTGGCTTTTTGGACTCTATCTGAAGTTACCATCCCAATGAAGTATTGGATCTGCAGAACATTTCCTCCCAGAAGCTGTTAGGCCCACTTCGGTGATACATCCGCTATTTTTAGCGAGTCAGTACAGTTATGCTAAGAGAGCTGTGTGCTCTGAGAAAGCCAGACCACATTAGCAGGGAAAGAAGGCAAGAACCACCACTGACTTAACCACCAACTGCAGCTTGGTCAGCTCTGTCTTTCTGAAGCTAACAGCACACTAACGTTACACCATCAACTACAGAGTTCAGTTCTGTTTACACCTGTGCAAAGCCAGACTCCACATGTGAGGAGCGTATCAATCCCATCTCTTACCACCAAGGGGAAGCTAGGTGGAGCCGAAAGTCAGAACATCACCTGGCAATTGGCACAACTAAGGTTGGCAAGAGATAATCACATAAAGGATATCACTTATTTATGAGAAAGACAATGACAGGAAACCATGAAGACACTGCTAGATACAAATAAGTGCTTTTTCCTCAGGAGAGGAAGGTAACTCAAAATTTTAGTTGCTCTTATCCAGCTTTCATTAAGGAAATACGTTGCATAATGCATGAGGAAAACATCCGAGAACGATGTTTGAGAACATTATCTATTCCCTTCACAAATGAATCCAAGAGCAGACAGTGTTGTATCTGTCTGTCCTCTGCATATAGCTGTACTCTCATTCTTACTAAGAAGTGTAAAAGCTCATCGCTTGACTAGGCTAGCCCAGATTAGCAGCTCCCTATTATATGGCATATGAATGACCTGTCTTGAATCAGAACTGCTTATCACACCTTCTCCAGGATGGGGAGATCTGACAGCAGCAGCACCGTTATCACACCCAGAGGTGAGTAGCACCGGACTGGCCAGGCCCAGAATCAGCCTGGCAAAGTGTTGATTGTTTTCTGTCCTGGGCTCCGCTTATTCTCTAACACCTCATGACAGTCATCACGGTCGCCCCTGAATCCACCCTTCTTTCAAAGGCTCCACCACTACTGCTGAAATGTGTGGTCTTGGTAACATCTAACTTCACTGTGGATGAAAGCACAACACAAGTTACCCACAGTACTTCTTATGGAAGTATTTGTATTGCATGCTCCCTGACAATGCCACCCTCAGATCTTTCCAAATTCGGTAGCTTATACTCACACACATTAGACCAAGTCCACCTTTTTGTTCAGTAAGCCTGAACTAAGTATTTGGGACAGACATCTGCTATAGAGTATATGATATATAGAGTATATGATCAAAGTAAGGGATTACACTAGGATACAGTCAGATCACAACTTTGTTATTTCTTTTCAAAGACTAAAAGCCTCATCTAAACACCTACACTGCACTGATACTATAACTTTTTCAAGATAGCTTTTTTTTCCTTGACAGATGTAATAAACATGACAAATACGCTCAGTGGAGGGGGTAGGGAGACTAACTAGGCTATCCTGACATTTTCCACATAGTCTGGTTTTGTTTTATTGTCCTGAAGCCAATTGTGAACTTGTTACACATTATCTGTAAAAATCACTAGGAGTACCTCACAACAGGTACTTAGCATTACCCTCCAGTATTTTTGTGACTATTCCCAAATTGTACAAGATAAAAACCATGTTCCTCCACACAAATTGCATGGTACTTCTCAAAGTGATCCAGTTCAAATTCTCTCCAAACTTGTCTGTCCCTACAGCTTCATACATCCTTCAATAGCTTGTGCACATCCCTCTAAGCATTTCTCAAGCAAGTAGAACATACATAAGCCATGTTCACAGTATACTCAAGAACCAGGAGGAGGCATTTTAGGCCAGTACTGTTGGCATATTTACCATCAACTGTGTACTACTTTATGTCAGTACTGCTTTTTATTATTGGAAATCCTTCTATACATAATGCTGAGTATCAGCAACTCTGTATTGCCAGCTGCAAGCATTGACAAAAAAAATAAAAGTGAGTCAGGCACCAAAACATTACAAAACCTTTTTTTAGGCATCTTGATGTTCAGAGTCCTGGGGTTTGCAGCTTGTTTTTGTTCTTTTAAAAAATTAATCTTCTCACCCTTGACCCTTTATAGTAAATGTGTCACATTTTCAGGATTGCCTGCAATCACAGCTTGACTGTTCTGCAGTGCAGCTTCATGTCCTCACATGCTACCTTGAAAGTGAGCTGGAGGCTCAACATAAGGCTGATCAGAAGTATGAAAGCTGCAAGTGCTTTGAATTTGCTTTAATGCTGAAGATAAAGTTCAGCCCTGACGTAATAAATGTTTTCATATCAAGTTTAGTGAGACCATCTAAAGTATCAGTCATTTTGATTCCAACATTTATTCTAGTATCATAGCAGACTTGAAAATAAGTTTGACTTTTTTTGTCTACACTTCTCTAACAGTTTTTTGCCAGTTTCGTGTTCACCAAGTATCCCACTTAGTGTGCATATGAAAAGACCAGAAAGACTTGATTAAAAACACAAACCTACAAACAGAACAGAAAGACAGGTAATTCTTCATCCCATTCCTTCCCCAGGGAAACCACTCATGCTTGAACAAGCTTATTCCATAGAGAATTACTAAACACCAGATCAGCTGTAGTATTGTATATACACTTACATTTGCTCCTGAAGCCACCTTGTGATTTTCATCATTTGCTTATCCTGATAATTAGAACTACATGGTAGGATAAGCCTGGAATGCACAGCTAAATAATTGACTCAGGAATTATGAGCAAACAGCAAATATTTTAGTCACCAACATAAGCATATCACAAGGAAATCTCTAACCATCTAATCTAGAAACGTTCATTCTGTCTTAGCACACCCAGCCACCACCAGAGGTTTCCTTTTTTGCAGTCAGGGGATTAAGCACAGCTAGCTAAGGTACGAGTTGGAGCTGTGCAGTACTTTGGCAGCACAGGAGAACTTCATGTAACAGGGATCAGGCCCTTCCCACTCATTTCCAGCACTCCTGCCTGGGATCAGTATGTCACAGAGTACCACCAGGACTTACCATTCATAAAACTGAGCTATTATTTGAGTCAGGTACCATTAAGTATTTTATTTCTGAATAGGCCTTTAGGTAACAGATTTCAGTTTTACCAACAGCATTTAACAACTCATTTCTGAACATTCTGGGTGCCCAGGAAGCCAGCCTGAAAAATTCATGCAAGTCTTAATCCTTCGCTTGTTCCCTACAAACCCAGCCATATCCTTTCATATTTATTCCATCCCACTTTGTGATACACTTTTTTTAAATACGTCTTTACCATTAGATTATAGATCTGGGCAGCATTCCTTCGGCTGATCACAAAGGCCCCAGCTCAGCCTTGAGGCTTTCCGCGTGGTGAATGTTTGAAGCATCTATTCCTTCAGTTCCTTACAACCAGGACAGACAAACCTTTAAAAGGTAATTCCTAATCAAGCAGAAGACAAGCCTCTCCCCCTCCCCGTTCTCCATCTCCCAGATTCTCCTCATTAAGGTAACCCACACTCCTCAAGAGCCTGCATCAGCTCCTTTTTAGCCCTCGTGGACCAAACCTGCTAGAGCAGACACCACCACACCTAACAGTACCGCTGCCATTTGTTCTGCATCCAGACTTTCACTCCTGTTGCACTTACCGAGCTGTGCTAACAGCTGACTCCAAAAACATCAGAGCAGGCAGTGCTCTCACCCTCCAGTGTCACTGCACAGCTACGATACATTTCTAATGTACCCTCCCATTATGCAAAGTGTAAACTAGCGGTGATCTGACTTTTCAACAATACTAAACAATGATTTTTCAAAGCTTTGCAGCTGTCCTTATAAAATAACTGGAAGTTAAACATGCGATTTCTGCCAGTCTTCCATACATTCTGGATTTTCAAACCTACATTTACTTTGCTCTTACAGTTCCAAGTCTCCAAAGAAGGAAAAAATATATTAAAGTGCAAAGCGAAACTGCAGTACAACTGCAAATATATATATAGGCAGAGTTAACACCAACTTATTTAAAAACTTGAAAATAATTTTTTACACCTCCATAATTTAAGTTTCTGTTGAAGGGTATTACAGTTCAGTGTCTTACTGCGCTCTGAAAGGAATCTTCAAGGGCATTGCATGTTATGAAGGTATCTAAACATACTGGCCCAACAGTGAAATAAGGGCCTGGATTACTACTACTCCTGGTCAAAGCACACACGAGCAAAAGCGAGGCTGTTTGTCAGGGACCCCTGACTAGGAGCTCATCTAGAGAGGATACCCCTGCCCTGGCCCTTCCCCAGCATTCACACTGC